GCCGTCGTGACCGCCGCCGTGGCGACAGCCGTCGCGGGAACCATCGCCACCTCCGCTGTCGCCGTTACTGCGACCGCCGCCACCGCCGCCGTCGCCGTCGGGGCGCACTCGGACGAGGATTCCGAAGGGAATCCAGCCGTGGCGACAAGGGCTCTCCAGGACGAGCAGCGGTATCGGTATATTTCCCGACTCTGATCCCAGACCCCCGATGTCATGATTTTGTCAGGATGCGGACCCCCGAGAGTCCTGGACCCCTGTCCAAGGACTGCATCTTCTCCTGAGCGCATAGCCTGCAAGATGGCACTGGCGAAATGCTCGGCGGCCACGGAAGGGCTCAACCGACGTACAGAACTCCAATCGGTCTGCCGGATACAGCGTCTGATCGACGACCACAAAGCCTGCGAATCCTTCCATCCTCGTCGCACGACCGCGAAGGGAAGCAGACGAGGGACAGAGAAGTAACAGAGGTAGAGAACACAGTGTCTTGACGGCCCCCGAGGACCGGCAAGGGCCCCCTGGAGACCAAAGCTACAACAGGAGCTTGACCACAAGAAACCTTCCACAACACACCCCTGGACCTCCATTGATTTTTGGTGTGGGACCGTCACGCTTTCCATAGCAAACCATCGAAACCCGAGGAACCCGAGGCACCCTGGAGGCAAGCAGAGTGTTTCTCCGCATGGGCTTCCCCTGCAGTGAGAAAACTCCCGACCAAGAGGCTCCCCCTCCGAGCGAGGGCAGTCCGCCCGCCCGCCGTAGCAACGAGGACCCCCTCGCAGGAGGCCCAAAGAGGCGCAAAGGAAAGGCAGGGCTGCGGGCTGCAGTATCAACCGTATGCTGGTGAGAATAATCTCATGGGGATAGTACAAGTTCGGGGTGCAGCCAGGAGAGTATAATTTTCCCAGAGATATCGAAGTTAGGATATCTCGAGAGATACAAAGGGAAAGGGGGGATGCTTTATTATCTGGGGTTGCGGTTAGGGAACCCACAAAAGACGTACGCGCTCAACCATGTACATGAATACGGCCCCCCAGTTCGCGAGACCAGCCTTGTGGTACGAACGTTCGCGCAATGCGTACATCCGAAACCACTGTGGATTCGTGTGCGTGTACGTCCGCCTGTCTCTCCAGAGGTGTGGTACCTGTTTCGTCCTTTTCAAATTATGCCTCGGCTCTCTGGGGGCCGTTCGGGACGATCCTGGCACCCCCGGGACGCCCTCGATGAGGCGCAGCTGAGGCAGACCGCCCTGAACCCACCCCCTGGCCCCAAAGGGTACCGATAGCGGTGCAGTGGAAGCCCGACCACAAGAAACCTTCCACAAGGCACCCAACCCTGAGACCCCAGGGCGTCCCTTGATATCTGGTGTGGGAACGTCACGCTTCCAATGGCAAAACCATGCAAACCCAAGAAACCCAGGGCACCCTGGAGGCAAGCAGGGTGTTTCTTGGCATGGCCCTCCACTGTATCAATACCTTCTCTCCTCCTCCGAGCACCCACGTCGCCGCCGACGTCGCCATCGTCGACGCCGCCGCCGCTGTCGCCGTCGCGAGTCCGCCCGCGCTGAGGCCGCCTCGCCGCCCGCCGCCGGCGGCGCCACAGTCCCATCGGCGGGGGGGGGCTGCATCTTGCACACCTGGCGCGCCAAAGGGAAAGCAAACAAATCCTTCTCGATCGACCCTCCTCATCCTCTGAACATTGTTTAACCGACCGCCATCCCCAGCGGCGTGGCCTGGGCCCCACTGGCAGATTTACCCCCCTGGATTGGGATGTAGGCCGTTCCCTTCGGGTTTCGAGGTGTGCATCCCCAACTGGGTTGGTGATTCGGTGGGGGTCTCGAAGGGGATGGGGATGGGGATGAGGATCGGTTAAACGGTACTGATTCTCCTCGATCTTCCTCCTCCTCCTCCTCCTCGATCGACGCTCCTGGGGGAACCAAAAGGTACTGATACCGCTACTCCCCGGACCTCTCCCAGGGTGCATTCTGACCAGGATTTCGAGGCGAATCCAGCGGAGGCGACGAGAGCTTCCCAGGAGGCCCCAAACGGGGAAAACGGGCGAATCCTCCTCTGAGCTCCTCATCCTCCTCCTCGATCTTCCTCCTCCTCCTCCTCGATCGGCGCTCGTCCTCCTCTCCGGAGCTCCTGGCGTCTGCACCTGTTCGAGCCAGGCGCCGTCGCCAGGTGTCGGGCCCTCGGGCGATGGTGCCGAAAGCTGGGGTCCAGGACTATGGTCGTCAGAGTGAGGGGGCCGACAAGCCATTCGTTGTCCCTGGGCGCGTGGCTGAATAGGGAACTCGTGGTGAAAATTATGTGTTGCGTTGTTGTTGATGATGTCTGTTGTTGTTATGGTTGTTGTTGTTGGTGTTGTTATTTTTGTTGTTGTTGCTGTGATGGGTGTTGCTGTTGCTATTGCTGCTGTTGTTGTTGTTGGTTGATGTTTGTTGTTTGTTGTGTGTTGTTGTTGATGTTGTTGCTGTTATTTTTGTTGGTTTGGGTGGTGT